GTTTTTAATTGCAAAACAGGAAAATATTAGATTTTAAAAGATTCACTCCCAAAAGTTTTTGTGTCCGAAACAGCTATGACATAATATAACACTTTAGAAATCTTCCAACAAAAAAAAAAAACTTATAAATGTTTGCCATAATGACAAAAAGTTACAAAAACCAATAAAGGTAATATGCGCTTTAAATAAAGTACAAGTGAGCAACCATCTTACCAAAACTCATATACCACACAATACAAAACTCCTAATATTTCTTTCGTTTTCTTAAGTTCTAACAACACAACAAAGTAATCCACCATCCTGATTAAAAGTCTTACAGCGCAAATGGTGATGTGCTGTTGTAAATTCAAACGAATAAGGTGTTATCAAAGGGTCATTTTCTTCTAACGATATGATAAATCACATTCTAGTTATACTGTATGGATTTTAATATTCTTCCGGCGACGATAAGATATATACAAATATTCAAAAATTAAACTATTAGCAACAGGTACTATATAATCCAGAATGTATTGTATTCATCTACCTATACTTAAAAAAAACAGAAAATATATAAAACTACTAATACGATAAGACGTTACGATATTTAATTACAAATAAAAAAGTTAGGAATTTAGAAGCACGGCAGAAATAAACTAAAATAAAATTAGACATACAACAAAATAGTACTCAACTCGCTTCGCTTGCCTCGGGTATTTGTGCTATATAAGTATATAATAAAGAAATTCTAAAACTTGTATGTTTGAAAAATTATTTTTAACAGAGCTTGATTTTATTTATAACGGTCATGATCTTTTATAAAAGCTGAATGTATTACATTTCACGTTTCACAATTTCAAATTGTTCATGCATACGAGTATAATAGGTGTTATAAATTATTATTGCTATCTTACTTTTACTGCCCCGAAAATTGTTTCCCAACATTTTAAATAATTATATTTTGAATGAGTTGTAATGCATAAATATTTTAACATAATAATATGTAGCTGTGTATCTGGAGCCTAGTGTGGCACGGTGGTTGACCGCGGCACTAACGTGTTCTGAGGTCAAGTATCGACTGGCGTCGCTAGCTCCCGGATGGGTGACCATCCGAGTTTATAGTGATGAATCACCTTTATACACGCATTCTGAACCAATCGCACAATCCCCACAGTAAAAACTGACAAATAACCTTCAGGCTAATAATAACACTTCAGGTATACTTCAGGCCTTAACTTCAAAAAAAAAATTATATATTGTCATTTTAAAAAAAATATTAAATAACAGAGAAATCCTTAAATATGCGGACAACTGCAAAATAATAAATGGTGTACACTCATTAGTAAAATAATAAAAAAATATAATAATTTGCTATGTTTTTCACACATCAATCAATAAAAAAAATATGCAAATAATTCAACCTAGCTGACATCTCTTTCCAACGATGATGTGCAGTGTCATAATAATAATGTAGTATTTTACGTATTTAAGCGTTTAGAATAATCTAAATGTATTAATCAAACCAGAATGTGAACAAATATATCAGTTTTATATCTACCATGAGAACATTCAACATAGGAAAATATTCTCTGAGAAAAAGTATAAATATGTTTCATTTGTTACGAACATTACATTTAAATTAAACTGCACGCGTTAATAACAGGTGAAAAAGTATGAGTTGTGAACTAGATACGATAACGTAATTATATTATTTCATGTTTATAACAATTGAATAATGTGTTCAGTTTTATGTTTTAGACATTTTACAGTTCAAATAACATCAACAACTATAGAAGTTAAATCGGTGTCTAATATAGTATTAAACTATTATGTTATAACCTGCGCCCTCGCATATACTATAAAATCATTAATTTGATCGACATTTAAAGTCATTTAAATGGTTTTAGCTATTTAACTAGAAACAAAAATAATGACTTTTTTCAAAATATTATTGCTTGTCTTGCTGGTTTTTTTTAAATTAAAATTATGAACTAAATAATACACATTATGTCATAGTAATTACTTATGTAATTAAACAAACGATGCAAAGCTTACTATAGCAATATCTATCAATAATGGGACAATATTATGAAAAGTATTATATAGATGACCTATTACTAAATCGCATCGACATGATTGTTATTTAATATTATTATAATGTGCGTTTATAAAAGCTATGTTGGGTATAATTAATCGTGGCGCGTTGCACGGTGCTACCGTTTTTCGGTGAAGGGGAAACATTTATGGAGCACCTATATATAACGGAAATAGGCGCGGGGAAGGATAGCGAAAGGAGAGTATAACGAATAAGTGGGACGGTGGTAGGGGGGGGGGCGAGCATTGGCATGGAGGACGATGGGTGGCGCGTGAGTAAGGAGCAGAGTAGTAGACGACTGTGGGGCGTGTGTGGGTCGGCGGACTGGGCACGGAGGACTGGTGCGGGGTGTCGGTTGGGCCGGGAAGGGGTGTGGGAATCGTCTACGGGGTACGTGTACCTTTTGAGACACCGCTGCGCTGGATCATTCAGATAGGATTGTCAACTGATTTCAGGTACATGACGTGCCGCGTACGTGGTACACACGGCCTGTACGCGATGCCGTCGCGCTGTCCAGCCGCACTCCATTCGCCGCACACGCCGACGTTCCCGCCGGTGCTATTGGTGCTGGTACAAGCTCGATTGGTACCGGTGCTAGTGGTGTTGCTGCCCGGCGACCAGCCAAATGGCATCGTCGACGGCCGGCTATAGCACCCGGACAGACCTTCTTACTTCCGCCGTTCGATCTCTCGCTGATTTTCGTTTCCTTCTTCTTTGGGCCAATGCCTTCACCGGACGCGATCCTACTACGGGCGCGTTTCGCCCACTACGGCGACGGTGATTGTACACCGCACAAATCGCCTGCCAACCGCATCATCATACTATACAACAGTAATAACAATAACGAACGACTCTGGTGATATACCTTCGTGCAAGACGGTTCACGACACTATATTATTATTATTAATCTCGTTAAAAATAGCGCCACACAGCTACGCGAGCGCATAAAAACAACGAAACATATTATTGTGTTATAATATTAGGTATAGTCTTCTGTATATTATGCCTGCTATAATATAAGAGGAGCTAGTATCACATACCGCGACGACGTTAAATAATTAACTATGACTTAAAGGTAATTATCGCACGCTTACGCCACTACATTATAACGAAACGGTACACTGCTGCATCAACGGCACAATAATAATAATAATAATAATAACGTGTGTAGAGGACGACGAGCCTCGCCAGCCAGCCAGCGCGAGGTAGAGCCCACCGCACGGACCGAGACACTCAAAAAACTGACGACGCGGAGGGCTTACGGGAGTACGCACTACTCCAGTTGACCTGACGCCGCGTGCACACGCACACACACAGACGGCGGATTAGCCCGACTAGGAGGACCCTCCCGCACCCTGCGCGAAAACGGCAACGCGCCCGCGCCCGCACACGCTCACACATACACACACGCACGTGCACAGACACACGCACACTCGCACGCCAACCCGCATTACGACACACACACACACGCGCGCACACGCACACCCACACTTACGGGCCCGTGCGCGCGCGCTCGCGGTACGGGCGCACGCGCACCCGCGACACACTTCGTGTGTACTTGCATGGCCCGCGCTCGCGCACATGCACACAAAGACTTGTGGAAACCGGGTCATCCGTAATTCACCAATCAGTGCGGCCAAAACGGCACAGACCCATTACCGTTCCAAACACCTGTAAACATTTACATTTACACGGAGCAGCTATACAATATTTTATGACCCACAACTATATTATCGTCGTCATTCGGCGTGGTATCGACTCTGTGGCGGTGTGGTCTTATTATACCTGTGTCACTTTTCAGCACGGGCCCTCATCGTGTTCTAAAATTACTATTATTATAATTATTTTTTTTATTTTTATATCACTATATAACATAATAGGTAGGTATACATTTGTTATTGCCTGTCGTCGACGATTCCTACACGGAAAACGACGTCTAATCCTTATGACATGTTCTTCGTCCTGAATAATAATCACCATAATATTAAATTATATTATTATAACGTGTATAATTTGGTGAAACTGCCACCCGCGATATAATAATACGCATTATAGCATATAAACATGTAGAAATATATCATAGATTACGCACAATACGAATAATGAATATATATCGTACGTTTCGGGTGTAGGTACCGATCTTATATGTGAATACGTTTTGAAATAGACGTCGCTTTTCCCACGGGGAAACGAAGAATTTAAACAGTTTTTGACGTTCCGGTAATGTAACATGCAATATATATAATATAATGAAATGTACATCAGCATAGCGCACGTTGCTAGTCAAACGTGTTGCCGATATTTCCGTTCCTCTTGGCAACCGTGCTCGACGTTTCACGCTTTGCTGTATGCAAACATATCCGAGCATTTTAATACGCAAAAGCGTTTACACAAGTATCTTCCAATACGGGCAACCATACATATATATAATGCACAAGCAATAACGAGCCGTATACCTTTGCTTCTGTAAAGTCAATATTTACTGCAGCCGTATTTTCCTACTTAGCTAAGCGCCTAAGCCGTCAACTGTTGGAAATACGAGAGGTGTATATACCTAAGTCACTATTGTAAACAACTTCCAGAGTACGACGAGCAAAATATAATAACGATCATCGATTTTGACGTGATGTCTTGATTTTGGAAATTCAATCATTTGCAATTATTCTAGCCACGAAATCGTAGGAAATACCGTTAAAAATCCTAACCCCCCACCCCCACCCACC